ACTACATCCGGTTCGCCCTCAATTGACACAGTCTTGAAACTTTCCGATCGCACCTCGTATATCTAGTCCCCTCGTACTTAATCATAAAAATTAAACAAAGTAATTAGTCACACGCAACACTGAAACATCTCTACTTTTAATACTATAACTTACATATTAAACAGCAAGAAAGCGGTACGCGGCCCAGTTTCTGAAAACCACTGCAATGCGCTTCAGACTAACAGCCAACCTAACCAAGCAATTAAGTTACTGGCTGCCTTGCTAAGGATTCAAGAAACCAACTTACGTTAAATAACGTCTATAGTTGACTCTGAGGCGTTAAATAGGAACATGAACATAACATCCTGTATGATCACGTCAGGTGGTATCCTAAACTGAAGCTTAGTGATCCACGGGTAATGAGATATCAGGGTGCTCTGGACTCTGAACCACGATTTCATCGTAATTTGCCGCCATTACTACACTACAAGACCAGAACATAGACCCAATACGAACTGCCGTCGTTATAGTAACATGCAATCGAGCGTAAACGGTTCGTGAACAGAATTTCAGTATCGATAAAAGTCAACGATAGCAATAAAGGTTCTGCCAAGCATACAAATACGAAACCACAGAGGCCTAAAAGCGCAATAAAAATCCTTCATAACGTGTTCTCTTCGCTCAAAGTTCTTCTGCCTCTGATTTAGAAAAACTGGCTGCATAAAGAATGAGGCCAATATGAAACATAAGTTGCATCAGTATTTCCCCGGAGAACTGTAACAAACTCCATGCAGCAAAGACCGTCTTCAGAAGCAGTCGCCCAACCAGTCAAGAAATTCCCCAGTGTTTTAAGGAACGCAAAGATTCACTGGACCCTATCCTAACCCAGATGAATCCATTAGACATCCACCCATCCTATGTCTTCAAATCTATTTTATTATTACCTTACATCTATGCCTCGGTCTCGTCAGTAGATCTCTTCTACTCAAATTTGTTCTGCATTTTCCACCGCCCCCCATACGCCTCACACGGTCCGCCCATCTCATCAGCCATGATTCCATCACCTTAATCATATTTTATGAATAACACAAATTATAAAGTTCCACATTTTGTAACTTTTTGTATCCTTATCATGACTATTACTCTATCTTAGGCCCAAATATTACCCTCAGCAATATTCTCAAACATACTAAATCCATGTTCTTCACTTAAGGATACAGACCAGGTTTAAAGTACAAAGTCTGTTAAAAACAGGACATAAGATGAATATCAGGATGCATCAAATGCCTCTCATTCAGTAACCGACGCTGACCCTAGGAAAAAGTCTATTCGGAACTGTAAATACATTTATATGATCTATAACACATCGTCCAATATTTGTATAAAAATATATATTAGACATATACCCCATTTGCCTAGTGTATTCGTAATGCCATTCCACAAATTATATTTTCTAAATTTAACACAGTTTAATTTTAATATAAATTATGACACAAGCAAAATTGTGTTTAAATCACCGAAAACTTATTCTTTTCCCAAATCGAATACGAGTGTCGTAAGAAGCACATAATTAAACATTCCAACAATTACATGAAATCTTATTACTACACGAAATGCCAGCTCATTGATTCAAAGTGAGTGCCTTGATTTCGAGAGTCCTGAGATAGTAAATGCTATTTATAAAGCCATAACTGCAGTCTAACTAATGACCATGGAAAATAAGTGAAAATAGAGAATAAAATACAGACGCAAGAATATAAAATTACTTTTTTACAAGCTAAATAATGTTGCCGGTTGACGAAATTGACGAGACTAACTAACTAACTAACAAACGCTGATGGTCCTTGGGACAGGTCCTGATCTGTTGTCCCACAATTTTCTTCCTTTTCAATGTACGTAATCATTCTATAAAGTCGACTAACGCTAATGATATCTACATTTAATACAGCGTTATTAAATGCCTAAGGAGAAAAACACGATTAACGTCATGATAAAGGTGAACTCTGAATCTTGCGGTTCCAAACCGGGGACAGTTGCGAATCGCAGAAGTGACGACCGGCGCAAAGGGTCTCCGTCTTCGCTTTCCTCTGCTCTGTTAGGTTCCGATTTAACGACGGTATAAGAAGGTAGACACAGGAGACAGGCGCTGTCTAGTGACACTCAACGAAGAGAAATTACTTCTCTCCCCTTCCGCAGAAAAGAAAACGAGAGACAGAGGTTATTTAGGATTCTCCTCGTTCTCAGCGGAACATACGAGAAACTGTGTAAGAAGGTGCCCTGCTAACAAGAGGCCTTCAACGTCCACCCACTTGTTGCAGATTTGTCGCGAGGTGGGAACACACACTGCTCTCGAAGAGATAAAACATATGCATCTCGAGAAGTCGATATATCATACGCGCACGCACATAGGAAACTAAGCAAATGTCGCAAAGTAGAAGTGAATATATAAAGACGACTTTCGTCACACGCGGTTTCACTATCCGCGGTTTTCTTTCAGTATCATGAAGAGAATCAGTATCTTATCCCTGGTCACGTTTGAAGCTGTCGCGCAGACCCAGTGAGTTGCGCGCGCAGTTTCGATGACTCCGGGTACTACAAATTAAGGTCTCTCATGGTGGCCAGTTACGTTTCGTGTTTCTGCGTTTCCGATATTGCCCTACGCTGCGATTTTCAGAAACGCAACCCCCGTGCACAACGAAACTTCAAAATAACTCTGCTTTTGTAATGCACTGTACATACCAACCCCTTTTTCCCTTACAGTCTGCCTAATTTGTATTGAAACACCGAGTGCGCAGTGAAATCAGTGCGGCGATGGGA